CCTCTGTTAATCTGTCAGAAAAATAAGAACAGTAACATGTAATGGACCAAATGTGCTCTTTTTCTTAATTGAAGAGAACAATTCCCTTAATCCCAGTAGCACTGGGCTGCAATCTAAGGTTTTGATCCAACTTTCATTATTTGTCATTATCTTCCAAGTGAAATTAAACCAGTAACCTATAAGAAGATCAAGTTAAGTATCCTCTTGGACAAATGATTTTCAATTACTAGACAAAACATAAATCAAATTTTAGTTGCTACTTGGTATTTGTTTTATCTAGGTGTTGCTTAAGCAAAATTCTAATTAGAACTGATTGCAATTTGGTTTGTCAAAATAAGCATTTTTGAAACACTAAAGCTTTTGTGGAACACATGGAGCAGAAACTCCAGTCAGACAGGGTGAAATGAAAAGAAAACTTGAAATTTTGGATCTGAAAATGCATATTTGCAGGCAGTTTCATGGGTAATTTTACAAGATTATGCTTTGGGAGAGTGAAAAAATAAATAACTGATCTTCAAAGACACCAAAACTCCATGAAATAGGATTTTGTTCTTCAGGTAATTCTAGTTCTGGCAATACTCCTTCGCTTTGTTCAACGTTGTTTCACTCTGCTCATTTTGCAAATACCTTGACATTGCATTTAGTGTTCCTGAACAGTTTCGATTGTGTGCAACACACAGCACATCACCTTTGAGAGCATGTGGTATAACAAAATGTGTGACAGTCCTTTTGCCACTCCTGGAATTTTCTCTTCTCTTTTTTTTTCTCCAGATTCAGAGTACAGACATCATTACTGGTTTTTACCCATGTTCAACTTTGTAGTGTTACCAGTGAAAGAAGCATGTGAACTGAACTCATACAAGGGTTTAAGAATAAATTAAAATTACAAGTATCTCAGAGGGTAATAAAAGCTTTTTTTAAAGAGTAAAACTGCCTTGTAGAGTTAGTGTAATATAAAATAAGTGAAAAATTGGAAGGTAATGAACTATTTTCCTACTCACAAGCAATAGGTCAGCTAATAATGAGGTTAAATTTTGGTAGAGAAAATTTTAGTTAGACTTCAGGAAAAAAAATTAACTGTGTTGTTAGTTAAGCACTGGAAGAGAAGACTTGTGGAAGCTCCATTATTTAAATATTTTATGATGTGATTGGACAAGCACCTGTCAGCAATGGTTTAAGTAAATGGGATGATGCTCTCGGGCAAAGGGATGGATATGATAGCCTCTCAACTCCCCCTTTACTGTCTATGCATTATTTTCTACTGAAAATGCCCACTATCTGGATTTACCTAACCTCTGTCTGGTTATCTAGACTCTATTAAACATATTTTTCCCTCACTTCTTACTTGCTGCTTGTAGGTACCACATTCTGTTTCCTTCTAGAGGAGCACAAGACCAAGTACAAGCTGATGTTCTCATGGTAACGTGCCCCCAAGGAAGGCCAGCAAATGCCTGTACTAGCTGACTCTCTCCTATTTATTACTGCATAGTTTCTCCACATGTAGTTTCACATAGTCAGATATAGTCTGCTGGTTTTGAGTTAACAAGAATGTGGGCTGTCTTGGATATCTGGGACAAAAAAGTGAATTTTTCAGCAAGCTAACTAGGTGAAAAAAGTATTTTGTCTACGGATATTACCTAACCACCCAAAGATTCAGCTAACACTTCAGAGACTGGAACTGACCTGGTTCAAGCTAAAACAGAATCACTTCTGTTCGGTAATTTTACTTTCCAACTAAGTTTCTTCTTAGAAACTGCGCTTTCTGAAGTTTACAGCATATTTCTGCAGACGGTGTCTGCTACTAGAAGAGATAGTGCTTCATGTTTATAGCTACTGCCAAGGTATGCAGAAAGGCTATCGCTTATACTTGCTCCTGTTGTGACCAAGGTCGCTACTAGATCTTGTGTAATACCTTACAAGAACTGGGAAGTAAAAAATTCACAAGGAAGGAAAAGGGAGGATGCAACTGAGTTCCTAAATCCAGCTCCTGTGTGCAGTTCCCCTCTGCCACCGCACCTAGGTCTTCCCTGGTGCTGCCTGCTCTGCAGCGCTAGTGGTGGTTGCTAGTGGGGAGGGTTGAGTTCATTATTGGTTTTGTTTGTATTCATATAATAACATTATTTTTGTTATTTCCTTGTTAGCAGTATTATTGTTTCATTAAAGCTGTTTTAGTTTTCTTTTCCAGTCCTAAAGTCTCTCTGCCTTATTCCCTTTTCTCTTTCCTTTGGGGAGGAAGAGGGCTTATTAACAGTTATTAGTCAGTCGTGTAGTGAACGGCCCAGCCCTAACCCTTGACAGGCACCACAATGCCTCTGATGGAAGCTGAAGATAATTTCTTGGTTACATCTTCCAAGTATTTATCCTTGATTACCAGCATCTTTCTAGTATTATCTAGATTTGTTCAGCAGAAAAATTCCTGAAGCCAGGTTGTCATTTCTGTAATGATAGCAGCTGCAGCTGCTGAGAGAGAATTGTCAATGGCATGTTGTTAAATCTGTCTGAACCCTTTTATTTACAGTGGACTCGGATAAATACTGAAAAGCAAATTACTTTGGACAGATATTTCTATAGCCTACAAATAAGAGAAAAATGAAAGAAGCACTACTGCCGAGGACACCAGCTGTGACTACTGTAAAATGAAGCTATTGCTGTCAGATCACCCTCCTCCTGTTCTCTGTTGTAATACCACACATTGAAAAAGCTCCTGAGATGTGCAACCATACAAGAACAGAGATCTTACCCACTTCTGCAGGAGACATTATAACATGCATACACAGCACAGTGGTTACACCACATGCAGTTGGAGCTTGGAGATTCCTGGCCACTTAGCTGTTTATTCAAGATGAGGATTATGGAGCTTCTGGAATGAGCTGAAATTCGCTTCAAAGTTTGTAGAAGATTTTGAGAGTCACATATTGATTTGTTTGGGACTATTTCACTGTCAGTAGATTAGGCAGAAGTGTTCCCCTAAAGGAGCTGCTACTTGCTTCTGTTTATGGGGGTACTCCAGAAAGCGTTGGTGGAGCGGCTGTGGCACTCTGCTATCGAGGCAGCCGTCTCAGCCCTTGCTCTGGTCTCATGGAAGCACTTCTAACGGTGAATGTGTGTCGGCAGCTGCAGCTGAAAAGCCACACACAGCCGTGTGCAGTGCTGCCCCGCATCTGCCTTGTATGAAAGTGGTTCTAACAACGATGTGTTTCAGCAGTGCTGACAGGATAAGCCTAAGGAGTTCCTTGGACCTTTGCACCTTTTCAGTCACTGATCTTAATCAGTGATCAGTGCAAGTGAAGAAGCAATTAAACAGGAAAATGATGATTCAGGGCCTCAATCTTACGTGATACTACTGAGCACACTCTGCACATTCGTATACCCCAGCTGGTCCTAAGCCTGTGGTAGCTGAGGGCACTCAGCACCTTGCAGGATCAAACCATGGAGTGAAAAATACTCCCTACACTTCTAATCAATAATAGAGATAGAAGAAGTGAATTTATTATGAGTACTGATTGAATAACTAGATTAAGAGTAATTGAGGACAAGATCAGAGAGATGAGGAAGCTCTAATTTCTCTGGAGACTGTTGCTGTAGCACAGATTTCTTTTACAGTCTCCTGCTAGAAAAAAATCTGATGACTATTGGTGTTGGTTTCTAGTGGACCACAGACTGCTCTGATAGCTGCAGTTGCAATGAGGGATGTGACAAACACACGTTTGAGATGCACCAAGTGGCAAATACTGGAGTTATTTCTCCCTGGCTAACAAGTACGGATGTGTGTCAGTGCGAGACAGGAGCTTGAAAGCAGTTACAGTAGCTACGAGATGAGTGGGAGAGATGAGAACTTAATACTGTCACTAAAAAAACAGCTGATGGCTCAGAGAAGAACAGAGAAACAACACCACAAGTGTCATATTTTTAGTCTTATGACATGTTTTCTTTCATCATTTAAGAGCGTTTACAGGAAGATATCTGCGTTAGGCTTTTAGGGTTTCTTTCCTTACAACTTATTCACAACGTACCAGCATTGCTGTGAGAGGGATATCACCAGACTGAGTCTTTTAAACCCATTTCTCATGTAGGACAGTAGAATATCCACTTTAAGTCAATACAAATTTGGGCTGAATAAGGCATGCTATGAAAGGGTTTGCTTTTATGCAAGACTTTTTTCACAAAAGGAGTAGTAAGTCAATCTTTTTAGATGCACAGAAAGGAAAATAACCACCAAACTCTGTGGCAGAATTGGATTTATTTATAAGTTATGGAATCAGAAGTTATTATTAAATACAAATAATACAGAAGAAAACACAAAACTTGTTCAAAAGAAACAGGAGAATGACCAAGTGAACAAGATCATGCTGGAACTGTGACTAGAAATCACTGTTTTCTGTGATCATTCACTTACATTTAAAGTAAAACTAAGCATAAAGAATTTGGAACTCTTTCACAGAATCACAGAATGGCGTAGGTTGGAAGGGACCTTAGAGATCATTTAATCCAACCACCTGCTGCTCCTGTTCAGGAAAGGCACAGTGTTTCATGGAAAACAATGAATGAATAGTACCAGATAAAGATTTTCTGCTTTTAGTAAGCCAAGCGAATTTTGCATATAGCGTAAGTCCTTTAACTCATCCCCAATTTGACATGGAAAATCATAATTTAACCATGTCACTAATCTTGCCACAATGCAATTCATAGTTCTTTAGCAAGGTCAAGAACAGCTATAGTTTTTAAGGTGAAAGCCTGAAGTACTCACTAGCAGTTAGTGAAACCAAAATTTCCAAGAACTGTTGACAATCTATTGTTTATTGTAAATCATATAGGCTTAGTTTTCAAAATCTATATTCACATAAAACAGGATAAAATATAATTTTCTAGTTTTTTTTTTCATTTGGCTGGCTTTTCCAATGCTCCTGTGACCATATGAGAATGTTTAAGTAACCTGTGTGCCACATGTGAAAATATCTGAGTACATGAATATGCTGACTTTCATTCCAGAGAAGATCTATCTATTCTCCAGGGACTTTCGGCTCAGCATGAAGATCAGGAGACCGTATGAAGAGATGTCTCCCCTTTTCCTTAATTCCTGATTGATTTAGATGCCTTAATATAATCTTGTTCATTTTCTTAAGATCTTCTATGTTCTTCTTTTCAGATATTAGTCTGCTTGATATTTGGTCCAACTCGTTTCTAGTTTGAACTTGAAAAGGAACAGGTACCATGTTAAATTGGCAACATGTAAGTCAAGAGCATCACCACCCTCTCTTGTATTCCTCTGCGAGTTTGTAAGGAATTATGATGAGTACAAATACTAAACAGGAAAACAACTGCAGAACCTAATGATAAGAAGTTATGCATCTGGTAGGGTTATCTATTCACCACATTCTTCAATTTCTTATTTTCTCTTTTACTTAGTTTGGTGCAGTGTAATAAAATCAAATGAAGCTGAGGCAAATTTTGTAGTCTTCAAGAGTATATCCACTTCGTTAGTGCCCACAGGGGCTCCAAGATGTTCTTTCTGAGCAGCCTGCACCTGTGCAATTAATAAAACACAAAGCAGACTACAGCCATATCACTGGATTTCCTAAAACGTTTAGTTTAAATGAAAATTCTTGCAAATACTGGCATTCGAAGGCCAGTTTCCTCTGGAACACAATATGTATAGTATCTGTCATGTACTCTTCTTGAGCTATTTTTATTTCGGCCTCCTGAAGTTTACAAAATTTACCCATGGATTTTGAAGATTAAGTATGCAGTGCCAATGCTAAATGAATCTATGTCTATGGATTGCAAACATAATCTGAAATTACGTTTGTAATGTAATGTGAAACACTGCTGGAAATTAGTTTCAAAACCCACAAGCCTCTGCAAACCTCAGCCCAAACAAACTCCTTTAGTCCCTGTAAGTAGCCTTCTCTCTGTTTACCATTTTTCCACTAGAGGGGCACATTTCTCGTTTTTCTATACCAAGGCTCTACTTTTAGCAGCTCCTCATTAAAAGAAGTATGGAATTCAAGTATGAGATATTTTAGTTAGGGTTTTACAATCATGACACTGAACATTTCCTTTGTGCTCTTGTCTAATATTCTGTTCTTTGAGCACTTGTGGGCAAATTCAGTCAAGGGTTAGGATTTCCTGTTCAAAAAGGAAAATGAGGATTGTTGCTGTGCTCCAATGAACTCTCTGCTATAGGATAAAAGAAATCTTGATTTCACACAGATTCCAATTAATGCAAAATGGACTTGTAAGTTAGAATAATGCACGTTGTACTGCGTTCAACACCATTAGGCCGGAAAACCCCAGGATGGCAAAGGCTTCATAAACCAAGTTTTGGCTACATCAGCCCGATAGACCACCTGAAGCAGAACAATGGTTATATCTACAGACTCAATTGGCTATGTGCCAATTACGTAATTTTTAGTTTCTTATGTTTGAGCTTTTCTTAGTTCCAAACCAATTTCCAGTCAGTACTTAGCTGGCAACCTTCAGTTCTTTCTTCAAGTAGCCTGCTGTAGGTGTTAACCTGGGTGTAATTCCAGTTTCAATGGAATGACACCAATGCTGAGTTTTACCTGGAAAGGATTGGAAGGTACATATTCAAAATATCTCATTGCCCTACAGTCATCTTTAAAATTTAATTTAATTTCCAGTCAGCATTTTTAGCAACACAGTATAACCGCATTGAGCTAAACTCTTCAGAACTCTTCAAGCTCGCAAAGCCTTTTCACTAAGAGCAATACTGTGCCTTCTAACTGAGTAGAGGCCTGTGCTTTTGCACCCAGGACCAAGACCAACTGCCCATAACCAGCCAAAGCCTTTGACCTTTGACAGCAGTGGCATGTTATACGGTAGCATGAGGCATTTTAGCAAAGTTCTTCCAGTTGGCTCTACATTTTTAAGAATCATTCTTTTGTTTACTTACTTATTAAGAATATTACAAATGAAACAAGTGCCAAACTGACGATCAAAGTAAGAATAAAGATGACGAAGAACAAGCATTGGTTACTTATGTTGCTCCCTGCCGTATTTTCTCCAGTACCATCAGTGTTCTCTTCCTCATCTGTTATGAGATATAACAAATCACTTGGTGATAAAGTTTGTTACGATTGGTTAGGATAAACATTACAAAATGCTTATGACTTCATAAAATGATGCAGAAAACATCGTAACTTTGGCCAACATATTTTATTTCCTTTGATATTGCATTAGAAGGGAAGAAATCAACTTTATGAGCTCAGTTTGAATTTGCAAGTATAAAACTCAATACATCTATTACAGCTGTTAGAATGTATTCAACAAAAATGTTTCTGTTGTTGAAATACACTGTTTTGCTGAAGTTGACCTGTTTTACAGCTCAATTTTACATGTATGAAGATTGAAATAAAAGCTTTTTATCAGATGGCTTTCTAAGAGCCTCAACCTTTTCAAAAGAGAAGAGTGAAAAATCTAGGTACAGATTTATCCTCCAGATTTGCTTCTTTTTCTGTTTGACATCAGAAGTATCCCTGGGATGATTAATTTCCCGAATTAATTATCTCGGTGAAGCTCCCGATGTTGGATAGGATGAATGTAGGTCTCGACTTTTTATCTTATGACAAATGTTTTCAATATTCTTCTTCTTTAGTTTTTCTTGGTTTAATTCCAATAAAAAATGAGGTACATAGCCTCCCAAATTATCAAAAATGGAATAGACCCTCACATGTTGCCCTTCAAGCACATGAAGAATGAGGGGAAAAATGGACCAATATTTGCTATGTTGCTCTCGAATCAGTGTGGCATGCCATTTTATTGCTTTTTAAAGAATGTGTTGCAGATAGTGAAAGTCGGTAGTTTCTCTCACTGCAATAGTTGTGATCAGATGAGAGGTGGCAATAAGCCCTAAATAGAACAGGTAAAGTCAAGTGAACATCATAAAGAAATTCATGTGAATATAAAAGAAAAAAAAATCATACTTGACCCAAATTTGTTTAAACCCAAATTTGCATACTATTTTAACTACTTACTAATGTTTGGGTTTACTTTATGCTTTTTGGGGAGTGGAGAGCTAATATAATTTCTTTTTTGGTGTCAGTCTCACACATAGTAAAATTACATGCAAATTGCTATAATTTCTCCTGCTGTAATTGCTGTCTTGCTATTCTGAAAGGGACAGTAGCATTTGCATCTGTGAAAAATATATTTCTAGGTCGTGTTCTTGTTTTAGCTCGTAGAAATCACTGAGGTCTTTGCAACTGAGCCTGTTGTGATAAAGCTGGGGGAAGGCTGCCTATACCATTACAGCACTTCAGTAATGAACCAACCTGGGGCTGAGCAATTCACTGAGCTAGCAGGAGATCTCTGGGAATATCTCTGGTTTTCTTTATTGCATTAAACACGCTCCTGCCTGCAGGTAAGCTACAACCTTTTAATATTTGAACTGGGGAGGATGTGTGTGTGTGTGTGTGTATTTTTATTCACTTAGCATTCATAACAAATGCATCATATACTAAGTGCCTGCACCAGTATTGCTTTCTTATCAGAATAATAAGGATGGGGAGGGCCTGCAACTGCTGTCTTTCAAGCATACTAAGCTATCAATAGACGTCTCAGAAGTGGTCTCTGCTTGCTCTGCCTAATAAATGCTTCTTGCTATTTCAGCTGGCTGAACATGCCAGACTGCAGGGTTGTCAGGAATCAGTGAACACACATTCTTGCCAAACTGCAGAGAGTGGGACCATTTTGTCACCTAAAACACAAAGAAATTACTACATGGCTGCTGCCAGAGCAGTCAAAAAGTGTATACATATACAAAAAGTATATACAAAAAGTGTATACAAAAAGTGTTTGATTATGCCAGGTCAGATTCAGCCACCGAACAAAGGGACTGCTGTGTACTGCAGCGCTCCTGAAACACCGTTTTAAAAACACATTTGGCAGCTGCTATACTACTAATAGATCGTTCACAAGATTTTTGTAATTATCAGAAATACATATTAGGCTACTCTTATTTATTGCTGAAATTTAGGGAGGGGCACGCATGTGATTGTTCTACAAAACCATATATGATTCCACAGAACCTTGTATATTTAGCAGGAAAGTAAACAATACTGTCCAATAAAAATTACAAAAGAAAGCAAGACAGTCACACTGCAAAGGGTTTCTCTGACATTAAAACTGATTCCTCCAATTGCCTCATTTTGTAATTGTAGAAATGACAATGTCAAGATAATATGTAAATTAAAATATTAAGTATCTTATGCCTAACATCTTTATGTTGAATATAGAAACCAGCACCACTCTAGTTAATTGCATTAGGAAAACTTCGAGGACTCAAAACCAGAAGTAATGAAAAAGTATTTAAGTTCTGTAACTAGAATCATGATTATGTTATGGTCATCTGAAATTCATTTAAACATAGGTGTCATTCTGTAATTTACTTCAGACAAATTTGCCAATATAGTAAGGGAAATAAAAGCAAATTCAAATCTTCTTTATGTGGAATCTTGCTTAAGACCTCCAGGTTTGAGTCATAAACAACTCAAGTATATTTTTAGGTATAATTACCTGAAAATATACTTGCTGCCATGAGAAATCAAAGATAAAAGCCATGTAAAACCAGTGGAAGTATGAAAGCTCATATCTGAAACTGTAAGTAAAGAGAGACTGTGAATTAAAATGCTTGAAAGTCTTATGGGGTCCCTCAGATAACTAGTTTGAGTTCTTCGGAGATGTTCTTTGAAAGAATGAACAGAAATTCTCTGATGTTTCTATTGCTACGTGTGAATTTCAGTGCTCATGAAGAGTTAAGATGCTATTTCTGTAGCAGGTGTGCATTGAGCATTAGTAGATATATTATCCTGCAAGGGATCACTTTGTGAATCCCAGTGACAATGGAAGGCAACTCCAGGCTTGACAGTGAATCTCTAGCCAAATGCAAGTATTTTCAAGAACCTAGTAACTGAAATAGCAGGAGCAGCTAAAGCATTAATCTGATTTGTCTAAATTACGTAATATTTTTTCTTGGATTTTTCAATACAGAGCTTGACATATACACATTGGCCTATTAGGCTCTTGGTATCAAGTGATGCACAATGAGGTCAGCTTTTTCAAATGTCATGTGTAACTCTTTTCTGATGGCCTATTGTATGTATAGAAAACCATGGCACATCACCTATCGTACGTACCTAGCGCATGCTGGGATCCATCTGGACAAACATTTAGTTTGTTTAGGTTATTTAAGGAATCAACTACATAAAGTTTTCCTTCTTCATGAGCGTCAGGCAGGTTAATATCCAAGGAAGGCCTCTCCATTGTATCTAAAAGAAGTAATAATTAAAAAGGTAAAGTAAAACATGGACATGGGAAATAACTGGTTACAGTTGGTGTCCTGTTCTAAGGAAATGCTGAGCAGCCTTAACAGCCCTTAAAATAAAGGGATTTGAAGGACCAGCACACGTACTAGATCATGAAAGCAAGGACAAAATAAATACCACTTGTTTATTCTTGGAGATCTTTGATGAGTATAAGATTTTATTTCTACCATTGTAGTTGTGCATGTGTATACCTATACAAACATATACATATGTATATGCATGGAAGAAGAGAGAAAGCAAAGAATCTATTGGACCAGCTCCAGCATTGATTTGAATGTTTGCTAATTGCTTGTATAACTCTTTTGTTCTGTTGTGCACTTCACAAGATAGAGGGTGATATTCTGACAGCAGTGAAAGCCAAACCTTCACTAACACTGCCAGGAAGGATGTCACTCAGGTCCTCTGCTTTCAGCGTGAAATAATTCAGAGATAAAACAGAGAAAGCACATAAGGGTGTAGGAGATAAGCAGCCAGAATATGGGTCTGCTTATGAACCTTGGAATATCACTGTGAAGTTATTATCTGTGAAAAACGAAGCAAAAAATGGTCTTCTAATGTGGTTGTATTTTCCATAGGTATTAGTTTTGGACAAATTAAAGGCTGATAGTAAAGCCTTTTCTTCACGCTAGTAGTCCTGGCTTTAAAGGAAAGCATTGAATGGGGCCCAAACAGCAAAAATAGTTTCTCTGCAGAGTCTGGGTGCATAAACTCATTGAATGATTGCTTATAAGAACACAGCTATGAAGGAATACTATATACATAAAGAAGAAATACCTAACCAGGCCGCTCTTTGAATTGCACATTGTTCTTTAACAGCATTTTAGTTTTCTTTATGCTACTCTGATTCAAAAAATGTCTTCTAGAAGCAAGCTACAGTTCTAGCCATAAGGAGATGCAATTGCTCTTATTAGGCATCATAGACTACCCAGGTCACTGAAGACACCTGCTGTAACTACTGAAGAAAAATATGTACTTCCAGGTAATAATCCTCTTATTCTAAGGTAGGTCTTTTTGACCTTACAATCGCAGGCTAAAGGTACCTTTCCCTTGCTAGTGAATGTGAGAGGGGAGCTGACAGAGATTAGTTTAGACTTGGAGCCAAATACATCTCACCCATTTAGTATTTTACCAAAGCTCTCAAGTTCAATTTTACCTGCCAGACATAATTCAGCACTTCACGGGATGCAAACCTCCTGCTGATGGAGGATTTTGAGCACCTAAGGGTGATTTCTGAATCCTAGATGGGCTGAATTGCCCTTGACATGCATCTCCCTCTCTCCCTCTCCAAGTAACAGAGAACAGAGTGTGACTGGGTTCCTAACCTAGCACTTAAAAAATAAAGCTTGAGGAATACAAGCATGTTTACAGTAAATCATAGAATCATAGAATGGCCTAGGCTGGAAGGGACCTTAGAGATCATCTAGTCCAACCTCCCTGTCATGGGCAGGGACGCCTCTCAACTAGATCATGATACTCAAGGCTCCATCCAACTTGGCCTTGAACACCTCCAGGGAGGGGGCAGCCACAACATCTCTGGGCAATTTATTCCAAAGTCTTGCCACCCTCACACTGAAGAATTTCTTCCTAAGGTCCAATCTAAATCTATTCTCCTTCAACTTAAACCCATTTCCCCTTGTCCTATCAGTGGACACTCTTGTAAAAAAGTCCCTCCCCAGCCTTCCTGTAGGTTCCCTTCAGGTGTTAGAAGGCAGCTATTAGGTCCCCCCGAAGACTTCTCTTTTCAAGACTGAACAATCCCAGCTCCCGCAGCCTGTCCTCGTAGCAGAGGTGCTCCAGCCCCTGGATCATCCTTGTGACCCATCCTTTCCTTCATCAAACTGAATATGCAGAATATTGTCATGATTCCCCCAAATTTGTGCACATAGTCAAGCATTCACTGAGCCTCCATAAGTCTGAGGACAAAGTGCTTCAATTACCCCTGACAATGGGGCTGGTTCTCCTCTTAGTGGGGATTGACAGGCCTACACGTGTACTTTTATATTCATATTGAATTGAGTGTAAGAAAAGATTACAGCTTATTTTTTCTCTGCTCAGAATTGTTGCTGCAAAATATGAAGATAAGGTAGAAAAGCTGGCATAGCAGTAGTTACCCTTACCCCGCGAATGACTTTTAGGTGTGCAGCAGTGATTTCAGGACAGGTGCCTCCGTCCCCTGTTCTTCCCCAAGTACACCGTGTGGTGCCAGGCAGTGTGATCTGCGAGCCACAGCCCCACCAGCGCTGGCTCTGCTACCTCCTCACAAGCACATCCGTGGCCAACTGCAACCGTTACAGAGCCTGGCATTTCAACAACGGCGTGCTCAAAGTTACCACCTCGTCACAGAGGCTTTGGGTTATTTTTAGCTTCTGAAGAGTAGTTTCTCGTGAGGATTTTGATTAGTACCTCCCTGCAACTTCAGGGAAGACTCTTCTTAACAACTTGAGCTGTAATAAATGTGAGTACTTGTGATTCGTAAATAATATTATATATTATTATATGTTA